CCAGGTGAATTTTTTTCCCAAAACTTTCGGACCATACGTTACAGTAAGAGGCACAACAATCTTGAAGAACTTCGAGCAACAACAGAAATTAAAAAGACATATCCTTTAATGAATTTGAATGCATAAGACGTAGGTATTGAGAAAGAGTGTGAGGGAAGATCATCAATTTGAACAACTCAATGAATAAGTTACTGAATGATTTCGAAATTCAAATGGTTTATTAACTAATTAATCAGGTGCTCATTCTGAATTATGATCTTCTTTATTACTATTTATTTGTTGATATCAGGTAATTAAGTTTTGTGTTTTATTGGTTAATTAATGTTGGTATTGTTTTGGTCCTCTTCATGAGAAAATCGAAGGGAATATTCCTTCTCATCAAAACCATACCCTGAAAAAACTAGCTGAACATATCCTTACTGAAGATGGACAACATATGGCAGAGTGGAATATTATTAAAATCATTGGGAAAGAAGATAACAACCGGAAGAGAAAAATCAAGTAATCTGTTTGCATTCTTCTGAACGGAGAAAATAGCATTGCTTTCTGTTCAGTTGATATAGATAGAACATGGTATTCACTATTGAAATCTGAAAATGAAAGTGGTGAATTCAAGATTAATTAATGAAAACATCCTCTAACTAATTTGATTGCCATCAACGTCACCAATTGTCACTGAGAACTGAAAAGTGTCAGGATAAATACGAATTTGCGATACAAAAAATCAATATTTTATGCTGAGAACGGGAGCAGATTCGTTTCCGAAACGTCCAAAGCTGAGTGAAAAATTTGATATTTTTTCTATATACCTTTATTTCTTTTCTCCATAACTTCTTCGATACAAATTGTCACTGACAAGCTGGTGAATTTTTCTTTCAGGCTCTCTGATTGGAAAATTCTTTAAACGCAGTGACATTTTGGGGCAAAACATCTGATTTGTCCTTACTACACGTATATTGAAATGATATTCATCTTTTTATTTTATAGAAACGAGGAGAGAAAATCCCAAAAAATCTGGAATAATGAATATTCGTCAATTGATTTGATCACCTCAAGCACCAGTATATCTCCTTGCAATATTTGGAGAGCATTTGTCTGTCATTACATTCGTTTTATATTCGACCCCTCATATCAATCGAGACGATTTTCAACTTTAGTTTTATTGAATTTTGATTGGCCTAAAGACATCTCCCTGTAGAACTTACAATGATGGAACTATGTATCTCGAGGCGTTTTTTCATTGAATCACTACCTCACCTGTTATATCAACTCCATAGATTTTATTACAGGGTGAATCGTAGAAGCGAGAATTCTGACATATTCCATTGAATAACTAACACCCTATGTGAGATATTGCGTTCAAATTCTGTATGATCCAAGATTGGTACACCAAAAAAAGGGGATAAATGCTGAATCGGAAAACATCGTTCACGGGTGGAAAATTTTCCACTCGTGGGTGTGAAGAAAAAGTAGGTAGGTATCACTTCTTAAACGTCAGTAATGATGTAGGTATTACATATACAGTTGTTGATAATAGTAGATTGTTTTATTATAAGGATCAAAAGTGACACTTTGTTTGACAAGCGAATTTTGCATTTGCGAGGCAGAGCGGTTAGTGTATAATAATAATAATAATAATAATACATTTATTGGACACCAAATATGTTCACATTGGAGAAAGTAAAACTAAATACAATATATATACATATGGTGAACAAAGGGCTTTTGGTTCAGATTGCGATCAAGTCGCATCTGGTGTTCCACCAAAGCCGTAAACTGAAAAATAAAGCTGAATAGGGTGAAAGAGCACGAGAAAGAGAGGAGGAAAAGAGAAAAAAGAGAGATGGAGAGAAAAAGAATTGGAAATAGAGCATGCGAGCGATGAGCTGATAAACAATAATCACGATCTCAATGCGAATGTTTCATAGCGGTCATTCAGGGACATTTTGAGACTGTATTAAATGTTTTTTAAATTTGTATTTGAAATTATCGATCGATAGGTCAAACCAATTAGGATTCCAAATATTAATATAATTTAATGTGTCAGAAATATTATAAGAGAACGAGCGCTTATACACTTCTTTTTTGTGAGTAGGGACACTCAATAGTAATTTCCTTCTCAGATTCAAATTGTGAACGTCCGTTCTATAACTCAAATGTTCATGTAAGTAGGGAGGAGTCTTAAACTTGACTATTTTAAAGAAAGTACAAGCTGTATGGAGACGTCTGCGGTTGATCATATTAAGCCAGTTCAAATCTTTCAGTTTATGTGAAATTCTATTCCTAGTTCTTATACCAAAAATAAGTCTCATACAAGAGTTTTGTAGTTTTTGAATGCGCTTTATGTGTCATTGCTATCTAAACATTTGTGATATACCACGTCGCAATGATTGAAATGGGACAGAACTAATGAATCACACAATGTTTTTTTAACTTCCGTATTCAAAAATTTCCTTTGTGGGTATATTAATTTCAGAGATGCGTAAGCTGTTTTGAGTTTGTAGGTTACATGTTCTGTGAACTTAAGCTTGGAGTCTATAACAAGCCCTAAGTTTTTAGAGTGAGTCTTGAAATTTATTCTGGAATCTCCGATTTTGAGTTCATAGTTATTGGCCTGCTCACGAACGTTTTCGTTTCCAAATATCATGGCAATTGACTTCTTCGGATTGATTCTCAACATGTGATCTGTGGATACCTTCAGAATTGCTTCCAAGTCACTATTAATACGATTTACGGCGTCTTCTAGGTTTAGGGGGTCAAAGGAGAAATATATCTGAGAGTCATCTGCGTATAAATGGTAGTTGCAAAATTTCAATCTCTTGGTGAAAGTGGAAGTGTAGATGGTGTAGAACAGAGGGCCTAAAATGCTGCCTTGTGGTACCCCAGAATTTATTTCCTGCCAATTAGAACATGTATCACTTATGACGACCTTTTGTTTTCGATTATGCAAATAAGATGAAATTAACGCACTTGATGCATCGCTGAATCCAAAGTAATGCAACATGGAAAGTAATATTTGGTGATTTATGGTATCGAATGCTTTCGAGTAGTCCAGTAATATTAAAATTGTTACTTTGCTTGCATCAAGAGCTTTAATTATGTCATCCACTATTTTTAATGTTGCTGTTGCACAGCTATAGCCACTTCTGAAGCCTGATTGTTTCACTGGCAGTATGTTATAAGAGTCGACATAAGATCTGATTTGATTTTCCATTACTTTTTCCAGAATCTTTGAAAATGTTGGTAGAATGCTTATTGATCTCAAGTCATTATAACTTTGAGGATTACTATTTTTTGCTATGGGTATTACTCTTGCGTTTTTCCACACACTGGGAAAATAGTTTTGACTTATACATTCATTTATAATATGTGTAGTTATAGACACCAGGAGAGGTCCACAAAGGTTGATGATTGAGATATTTATACTATCATCACCATAGGCTTGCGTTTTTATATTATTGATTAATTTAGATATTTCAGTTTCATTAGACAATGAAAAGGTGAATGATTCATTCAATCCTTCTTTTCGGTTAGAATTATAAAAATTTATTAAATGTTCATTTGGTACATCCTCATTCATGGAAGATCTTAAGAAAAAATTATTCATATCTTCGGCATTTTTCAGTTGTTCTGGTATTTCTTTGTTTCTACCCTTGGTAACACTCAATTTCTTAAGTTCTTTCCATTTACTCTTGATATCTGAGTTGTTCAATTTAAAGTTTAAGTAAGCTTTTTTTTCTACTTTTATGGCTGTGTTGGTCAAGTTCCTCAATTCTTTATAGTATGTCCAATGCTGTGGAAGTTTCGAATTTTTGAATCTAGCTAATGCCCTATTTCTAAGTTTTTGCATCAATTTAATGTTGTCGGTAATCCAGGGGGTGTACTTGAGGTTTTTTGGTGAGCATTTTTTTTCTGGCGCATGTAGATCAAGAATTTGCAATATAAATTCATTTACGAGAGAAACTTTGCTATCAATATCGACAGTGTCATAGATTAAAAACCATGGTAGATTTGCCAAGTCGCTTCGGAATCTATCAATGTCTATGTGTTTGAGATTTCTGTATGTAACCTTGGTATTTTGTGAATTTCTATCCTCACCGATTTGGAATTTTGCCTGTATTAATGCATGGTCAGATAAATCACATTCTGTAATATTTACCTCGGAAATATTTTCACAATTCGTTATAATCAAGTCTAATAATGAAGAACATGTACTGGTTATTCGTGTAGGTTCACTAACAATTTGTCTGAAATTGAAAATTTCCAAAATTGAGGAAAATCTATCTGTATAATTTGAATTGAAATCCAGCATATTTATGTTGAAGTCACCCATTAAAATAATATCATTGTGACTGGAGAAGATATTCGTGAAAACTTCTTCTATGGACCAGGTGCTCTAATGGCAAATACTGCGCCAGTGCCAGGTATATAGGAACAAGACGTGGAAAATGTTAGGTTAGTGAGGATATCAACAATAATAATAACGATTATTTATTCCTCTGCATACTACACTGTGTTTGACTTGATAATCAAATGGATGTACAAAATATCGTTGTTTGAGACAAAAAACTATTGCTTGCCGTGATTATTCAAAAACAAGTTATCCATCCTGAGAATAACAAATGAAATACAGATCAAGCAAGTATGTGAATCTTGAAGGCGTCCCTGATCAAAACAAAAATACTTAACTGGGATGTTTATAATTCCTATACTCAATAAGGTGTATTTATATCTCCAGCATGGGTATGAATATGAAATGCCATGAATCTGCCGAAATCGGAAACAAATCAGGTATGCGTTCCAACCCAAATAACCAACCGTAACAATGTTGTTTATTCTTGATGACATCTAGTACATCCTTTTTGCTTCCTAGGAGCCAAAGTTCAACTTGAGCTCCTAGGAACTAAAGTTCAACATTAGCTCCTATATCACTTCAAGAGCTAATTTTGGTATTAAAATGGACGACTTTTGTGTAGGTTGCAGAGAAATATTATTATTACCTTTCCGGATTTTTCAGTGCCATTTCAATTGTCTTCTCGCCTTCTTCATTGATATCAAGTGCATATAGGCCTACGAAAATATCTCTGACCATTTCCACTTGCTTCTCATCTAGGAACCTCTCAAGTGCCCCAGGTCTTGATAATTCTTGCTGCACTTTCTTCGCACCAGCTAAGTGATAGTGGATAGTGGGACATTTTATGGCTTTCGACCTAAAAATTGATTGATTGATTGATATGCTTTATTGTCCAAAGAGTATTTCTTATTGACAAAGTTATAATTTCCTAATACTATAAATATTTATTTATTTATTTATTTATTTATTGAAAATGTTACTTCCAGTCAGAATCAAGTTCTGGTATAAGGAAGTATAGTTAACAATAATACCTAAAACTATACAATTATAATAAACTGATGAACAATAAAATATTTGAAAACATTAATTATTAAATTTTGACAAATCATTTCATATTGCTGAGTAAAAATCAATTTCAATATGAATCAAAAGTAAGTCATCTATTTCGTTCAGAAATGATAAATTTTTTAAGATGGTATTTGAATTTTATTGTATTTCTGCAATTTTTTATATTATCTGGTAATTTGTTATATTCCAAGAGAGCAGCGTGGGTGAATCTTTTTTGGCCTATAGAAGTATTAGCGATATCAAGATGAAATAAACCATGTTGTCTAGTTTGATAATTATGAATTTCATTGTTTCGTGTTAAAATAAAATTAGATTTCAATCTTTTATTTATGATATTGTATGTAATTTTCAGTCTTTCGATTTTAAACATTTCTTCTAATGAGAATGATTCAGTTATTTTATATAATTGATTTGTTGGTGTATCATATGGTAAACGATACAGTACTTTCAATGTCTTTTTATATAATGCAGATATTTTATTAAAATTGTTTTTTGAACAGTATCCCCAAACATTTATCAAATAGTTAATACGACTGAGTATATGAGAATATTGAATTATATTTGCAACTTTTTTATTCAGCTTGGGACATCTTAAAAAAAACATAGTGTCGAACATTCACAAACACAAAAATAATTATAATTATCATATATTAATATACGTATAGGTATAAGGAGTCCAAAAGTTCTTCAACTTCAACGAGGGATGAGGTGGGTATAGGCAGTCTAAGGTGATTTGTTTGGCGGGTAGCATAATGAAAATTTGGACTAGAGAATTTCATTTTATGTTTATTGATAAGGCAAACCGTTTATAATATAAAAATGGCATATAGTGAATATTATCTCGAAATAAGAATATGCCTGGTGGTTTTTCAAGATAGCACACCCTTATAACTTTCTTCTTATGGAAGGTAGTAAAACGAAATTTGGGGGGTTGTGAATCATAGTTCAATTCACACTTTTCGACAGAACTACCAACTTGCTTTACCGTACTTCTGGTTTGTCCGGAAATGACTCCAACTTCTCAGTTTCAAATGGGACACCCTGCAATAATTTATTCAATAATCGGTGGGGACTATATTGTGATAAAGCTCACTGCTCCAAATATTTTTTTTCTCGACTTCTAATGTTCATGTATTTGTTATCCCAAATGTTTGATCATGTTTTCTTTTTTTAACCTATATAGGCTTTGTCAATGAGAATCACCTTTCTTTCGACAGTAAAGCAAATTTTGATTTGATTTGATTTGGATTGCCATAACGAATTCAACGATACTGGGGTTAATATGGTTATTTCTGAACACTGTAAATTGTTGAGTTTCGGAGTTCATTTCAAACGTACCGTCATGAGCACTATTTGGCGATACGTCGAATAAATGGTGACGTCAGCTTTTATGCTGTTCCGTTATTGGTCAGATAATCTTCCATTCCCACTCTCGAAGCAAGGTTGTCGTCACCAATTATAATCAAGTTATCAAAAAGATACTGTCTGTAGGTTAATCAAGGATGTGGTACATTCATTATTCCAGATTTTTTGAGATTTTCTCTCCTCGTTTCTATAAAATCATATTCATATTTTTATTTCATAGAAACGAGGAGAACATCCCATAAAATGTGGAATAATGAATCAGAAAGATGTAAGAGTCCTGTCGTTGAATAAAATTTAATAGGAGAAATCCATGATAATATAGTTCATTCTTGACTCTTTCGAGCAACCAGCTAGCGTGTCCAAATATTTCTATTACTCCATAATGAAATTGCATGTAAATGTTGGAGACTTGGCAACATTGTGCTGAATGCTGAGAAGGGACAAGGCCACGCCCACAAGTCATGTGCACGGTGTTATTGTCACGTTCACCGCTTCAAATGTGAATTAATATAATTACTATTTACACGAATGTATTATAAGCAATGAGCCACAAATCACAAGGAAACATTTTGGGACAATAGATTTGGTATTGCTAAATAGGAATATTACCAATACATAATTGCGAATTTATCAATGTTTGAATAACTAATATTCCTGAAATTCCCAATCGTATTTCAACACATGGCAACTGTGCTATGGTCTGCCCCTACTCAGGAAATTGTGACATCAGTTTTTACTCGTGGTAAATTTCTATCCGTTTGAAGATTACCGTGGCATTATTGATGATTTTGACACGTGAAAATCGACCAAAGAATTCTAAAAAATATGGAATCGAAAGGTATTTGAGTGATGATTTTACTCGAGAAATAAAAAAAATTAGTCCACTCGCCTATTCTCACCCCCCCCCCCCCAATTCTGTTCAACTACCTTCAATAATGAAAAAGTTATAGGGAAATGCACCTTGGAAAAGCAGGTAGATACCTACTTTGTAGATGAATACTGGAATGGCCATGCACTGACAAGAAAGAAAAAGGAACAAATGAAGCAGTAGTGAAATGAAAAATATGAATATTAGATTTAGCAAGGAATACCAAATAATTGATGTCTAATGATGGTTTTTATACAGGGTGTTTGGTTCACCGACGTATATCTAGAAGGGGGTGATAGGTCAAAGTTAGTCAATTCATTAGGTAATCCAAAAGATAAGGTGAACACACTTGAAAAGTCAGGAATATATGAAACCAGGCGTCCCATAAAAACAAAGTTCAAAGAACACTTAGCACATTTGGAATATGGTAGGTTAGATAAATCGTGTGTAGTAGAACACAATGTTCGATCACAATCATAACACATATATAGGGTTGCCACCTGAAAAATGTGAAAACCAGGACAAGGCTACTTGAAAATCCGGACAAATCCGGACAGCGGGAATTTTGAAATCTCGGAATCATTTTTTGTAATTCCATTTTCATATACATATGAATGAGTTCAATGGTGAATGGTGAATTCGGTGAATTCGGGTATATTACCTACATATTTTTTGTTGCACAAATCGAATAAAAACTCAATATTAGTCACATAAATAATACCAAATTTCAATTTTTGAGCAAACTTTCACTGACATGATAATAGTTTATGTCAGTGGTTTGAAGTGACAAAAATCCGGACAATTTTTCAAAACCCGCCCGGACGTCCCCGGACGCCTCTAAAACCCGGACATGTCCGGGGAAATCCGGACGGATGGCAACCCTACACATATATTAATCACCTCAAATAAGTCAAACGTTAACAATGTTAGAAAATTAGATGCATATGGAACCTAAGAGATATTCAAAAATAGTAATAGGGTAATAAATGAGGTAGTAATATAACATGTGAACTCAACCATGAATAACATTAACTTGGTGGTTATTTTCTATTCACGGTTGAGTGGATATTTAGTATATAAGTAGCCCACTAGGATAGAGCATTTAGTTTTGATATTCTCCTGAAGATGCTAACATAGTTAGCGTAACACGTGTCGAGGTTTTAAAAACTCGGTTTGGTCAGTGGAAAAACAGTGTGTAGTATATTATCGTGTCAAAGGTTCCAGTCATCGATATATAAGAGATCATGCATATAACAACCTACTCAAACGAATCGTGGAAGATCTCACTCAAATTCAAATCAATATCTCTCAGTAAAAGTATCGAAATTTGAATAGTTCACCTTTCCAAAAGCAATCTTGTGTCCCACTGTTTTTGGGTAGGATAGCTGGCTGGCTCATAGCCTATTCGGTAGTATATCACATTTATAAGGAGATTGTCTCTGAAAAAAAAAAACATTAACTATATCATTGGTATGGTTTTCAGGGTCCGCTCTCACAATTATCTTGCTCATTTTTGGAGTAAGTAGATGAAGAAAAATTTACAGAAATAAAATTTTCAGTCAGGTTAGTGTCCCTTATGTCAGTTCAATGAAATCCTTTCACTATATAGGGTATGTCAGCGATCGACAACCCTTATATATATGGGGAGTCATATAATCTATGCTTATATAATTGAAAGCGGGGCACTAAACGGACTAGCCCAGGGCCTAGAGTAGGCCCTGACTAGCCACTAGAGCATGGGTGGCCAACCTTTTCAGTATACGGGCCAAATTTCAGAAATAAGATTCCTCTCCGGGCCACGCTCCATTTTTTTTATATTGATAGTATGCGATCAAACTCTTTCCTAGTCTATCGTTACAAAAAACAATATTTTCATTAATTTTCTTAAAAAACATCGAACAACTGAAAATTAATGATATTTATTTATTAGAAAACGAGCCAATTTGAGAGTATTACAGTTTAGTGAGACGTCTGACTTTGTTTGGCAGAACTGAGTTCTTCAATGTTGATTTCTACTGATGTTGTTGCTACACGCAAACTGTTTTCTAAATGTTCATCAGTTATTCGGGTTCTAACTTGGGATTTGATATGCTTCATGCGACTGAAGAGCTGTTCACATGCATTAGTGTTTCCGAATAGCGAAACCATCCACAGAGCATGTTTGTAAAACGCAGGATATTCATCTTTGTCCAAATACATTTTATAAAACTCTTTCAAACCAACCTGATGGTACTTCTCTTTCAACTGTGTATCACAACACATTTCACAATGTTCCATCTGTAATCCGCCTGGTAACGAATTCATGTCTACAGCGAATGGCGTTGCAAATGCAGAAAAAAGCACACAATGTTTTTTGAAATCCTGAAATCTGTTATCAAACTCAAGATTCAAGTCAGATATCAAAGGAGCGGATTCATCTGCTGCTTCCTGCCTGGCATCTGATGGTTGCAATGACAACGTTGGAAAGTGAGTGAAGTTTTTTGTCCTCAACTGTTGTTCCCAGAGTCCGAGTTTCATTTGAAATGAAGAAATAAGATCATCAAGATTATTATTTATTTGATCTTTACCTTGTAAACGCGTATTAACGTCATTAAGGTGGCTAGTTATATCGACCAGAAACGCAAAGTCCCAAACCCACTCTTTGTCTCCAAACTCTTGGATACATTTCGACTCACTTTCGAAGAATAATAGTATTTCTTGTTGCAAATCAAATACTCTTCTCAACATTTTCGCGCGGGTCAGCCATATCACTTCTGCACAAAATGTAATATCATCATAATCTGAGTCCAAAGATTTGAGAAATTCTTGGAACTGTCGGTGGTTTAACCCCTTCGACTTAATGAAGTTCACTATTTTGATAACAACTCTCATAACATGGTCCATTTTGAGGGACTTTGAACATAAATTCTCCTGATGAATAATGCAATAATATTACGTTATAGAACGCATGATTTCATGCTCTTTTGAATAGAAGTTGACAGAAAGTCAAGATTTCTCAGCGTGATCATAGCGAGGTAATAATGCGCCTCGCTCGCTGCTCGCTGAGCGCGAGAAACTGAAAATTTCCGGCCGATCCTGAGAAGAAACATAATTGAAATAGCGAATTACTATCGGCCTAACCAATAAATGCCTCCATAGTATTTTCTCGATTAATTACTTCGAAAAAAAATTGATAAAAGATTAGTTGGAGTAGGGATCGAACCCAGGTCTTTTCGCTCGGAGGAATGTAATTATGTAATATTTCAGAACGAAATAGAGATATATTAATTTTGATCGAGATATGATGGTTATAAATAAAATAGTATACAAACCTCGGTAGGAAGTTTCATTCCTGTCTCGAGATTATAGCTCACCTCGACGCTTTGCGTCTCGGTTAAAACCAATCTCACGCCAGGAATAAATCACTTCCCACCTCGGTGTGTAATATTGTTGTATCGGTGGTAACGGTAATATCCTATTATTGTATACATTGCAACACCAAATTACAGTTCACATTCAGGAGAGAAGGACATCTTGTTAGGGTTCAGAGCTCTGTGATGGGTCCTCCGCGTGATGCCGAGGTGGCTGGTGTTGGCCAGGAAATGTGAGTGTATTTGTGAACAGTTAGTTTCAAAGGTTGAATGCCCAGGATCAAGTGCCGCCATATAACTAGCTTACGTTATATGATATCTCCTCATCCCCATGTCCATCCACCCCCACTCACTAACGAGTGGACTTCAACCTTATGCATTTGGCAATCTGCATATATGTTTTATAAAACCTCTTACTTGGTTTCAGTCTCCCGACTTTTGAACCTTTTTGTCTAATGTGTGTTTCCTAGCCTGACTTTGCGTGGTGGTTCCCTACCCTAATGGGAAGCATTTATTATTAATTGTTTACATTTTTATAGGGTATCAAAAGAGAGACTCGTCTTTTTAATTATCTGATGATAATTATGCAACTTTTATTGATATTGATTTACTTTCGTTTGTCCATCTTATATTTGGTGAATTGGGCGTCTGTACTTTATTCTTCCGAAGCGCGGGTCTTGATTTAGTTGTCTATTAGTCAGATCGTGCAGTAGCAGTCTTTCGTGGGTTATTTCTGTTCTTCCGAATGTAGTCTCCACGTGTGGTCTTATGTAGTTGTCTATGTAGTCTGGGTTCATGTTCAGGTCCCTATTGATAAATCTATTTGGGATATACCATGGGGCGTTCACTGCCATTCTCATTGAGACATTTAGAAATGCCTGTATTCGCTTTTTGTATGTCTCTGCGCATTGGCCCCATGTACTTGATGCATACAAAATTATTGGAAGTAAAATGGTTCTTATTAGGCGCAGCTTCAACTCTAGAGCCATGTTGCTTCTGCGACCTATTATTAGAGGCTGTAGGATTTGCCTTGCGTGCGAGTTTGTTAAAGTTGTTCGCGGGTTGGTGAAAGGACCGCACCTTGCGGTACTCCTGCTTCTAGCTTCCTGCCTGCAGAGATTTCGTTGCCAACTTTACATTGGTATCGCCGTCCCCGCAGAAAGGAAGCTATTAGCTTTACCATAGATATCGGGTACCCGTAGTCTACCATCTTGGTTAGTAGTCCGTCGTGCCAGTGCCTATCTCCTGGGGCCAAGCCCTTTATATATGTGATCTCACTGAGATTACCCAAGAGGGTGGGGAAGCTGATCAGTCGCTATCAGTCGTGAGTGGTTTGTAAGGGGTCTCGGAGGAAGGAAGACAAAACAATTTTATACGCTCTCGACTTGCCACCGTGGCTATATTTCCCGTATAGTGGTGATATGGCTAGGCTCTAATGGACTAGCCCAATAGGCCTCTCATGTGGTCAGGTGCTTCGCTGGTTGTCTATGGAGGTTGTCTCCCCAGGTGATGAAAGGGCCCTTTCTGGAAGAAGTCTGCCTATCGCCTTGGTTACACACAAGTAGCGTACTTATAGATTGTTTAATAATTGCCACTCGAGTTATGTTAGTGGTTATTTTCAAAGGAACTTTGTCCTGCGGTAGTGGATCTTATCATTCTTATATTCTTACAAAACCGGTACTTTCAGGTACCTTTTTTGATCGGTAACAAACGAAGCCTGACGATTCACTGTCAGGCTGGGGCGTGTGCCGTCTAATGCCTTATAGCGCGGGAATAAATTCGAATTGAACAATTGAACATGTCCGGAAAATACTGTTTGTTTGGACAAGTAGACAAAATTCTAGGCCGAGCCGTAGGCCAGTCATGGAAGTCTGCGAGACCAAAAAAAAATATTTTGGACGTGTTGCGTACACAATTTTTTCGGCAACCATATGTAGAATAACAATTCAATGAGACACATTTCCATATTATATTTCTTTGTGGTTTTCTGAGAAAAAGCGTCCGAGAAGTGAGTACTTTCCGGACGGTTGCCGAAAAAATGCTTTACTATATACCAACCACTTGTATTGACGTAGCAGGGTATACAGATTTGGAAGAAAACTACCGGTATATAGGATTTAGAAGCCAGTCTAAAAGCACAAAATATAACAGATATATACGCGATGCATAATCAGTTATTCAATGTCATTGATATTGAGGACTTTGTGTATGTTCGCTGTTCTTATATTGATTGTGGCTATAGGACATATTGCATCAGTACCAGCGATGATATATTATGGTATATTTTGAATTATCCAGGACCGATTCGGTACGATATATACACAGCGCATACTCGTGAAACAACTCTTTCAAGAGGAACACATGGCACGCGCGAGTTCAATTTAGAATTATCATTATAGGCTAGTCGATTATACTGCTACTATAATGTGAGCCACCCTGCATAGTTGAGCTAAAATGATTGAAAATGCTCAGGATCTGGTCAAAAAATAAGCGCAGTAATCATATACCGTCTGGCAAGAATAATTTTCCTATGAGGAAACCGTGTAAGGAAATGAATGAATGAATGCCTCACCTACTTGAGTAAGGCACGTGTGGCAAACGATAATTTCTTCCGACGGGCCGAAAAATGGACTCGCTCGGAGGAGGGATTATACGAAACATATGACAATAACGTCGCTTTTTTCTATCTTCTTTTAAATGCCCATGAAACTAATGCGAATTCCCTTTATCACACGCGGATTCTCTGTGGGAAGATTATTCTTGCCAGACGTGTATGCATAGATCAATCGATTCTTCCTGACTCACATCACTAATTCGCCATTTTGGTTCAATCTGGACCTCTCTCCAAGTTCATCAATTGTCCTCCTGATAACCTTGACCTGAGGATTTAGTTCTCTAATTTTGAATTCGGGAAAACGTTGATCACAGATGTTATAAGACACTTTTTCAACGACGAATAAAATAGCTCCTTCTGGATTTCCATACAATCTCCAGGCTTCTATGAGGCTTTCGGATAGTCCAGCTAGAGCATTATTTTCGGGTAACTGAAACACTACGCATATTAATAGAATAATTGATGAAAGGGGAAAGATTTCATACTCACGTTCTTCAGTTGTTCATCGTAGCCTAATTCTTGGAAAACGTATCTGAAATATACAAAGGATGGTCGTTGATTTTATGAGTACAATGAAAGCAGAGCCATGAACAAACGTTCCTCCTAGAACTCCTGCGAGCTACAGGGCCTCGAACATCTCATTACACGTTCTTTAAAGAGTGTGGACACGCTCGTCTCCACTGAAATTTCCGAATTGTCATCGTTCTCAGATTCAAAACGTCACTTTTGAAAACTGACTAGGCGTCCTCGCGAGAATGTTTTCGTTCATGATTTGTTCGGTAACGAAAAGCAAAACTCATGAGAATGTTTTTTTTCCTTTCGGAGGTTGTCAAAATCCTTTATGGACACCACGAAGTACCATTCCCTTCATGGTAGTGTGGGAATCCCTAAATGTAGGAATATCCACTAAACACTCCTCCTTTCAAGGCTCGTCTGACCGCGAAGTCTTCGATGACACTTAGGCCTCTTGGCCCATTGTACCTCGAATATGCCGTTATTGATTTCACCATATACAACCCATGGTTCTTATATAAGGGTCACTTCAAATGCCGGTACAGTAACTGTGAGCACTGCTGCTCACAGTACCAGGGGTTCGTTTGACAGGCCCTTTTCATTCAGGTTCCTGAAGACTACTCTGAACCCTGGTCGCGTCCACGAAGAAGGCCAAAAGTTTATCTCCTCCATCGCGTAGTGGGGGATGGGGTTGGTCCAGCCCTGTGGTGCCCCCTGCACAGGACTGAGGCTGATTACTCGCCCTGTTTCCCATAGTAGTAGGGGAGGCAAAGAGGCTGAATAGGGATTCACTCGAGCGTCTTGGGGACGTATCAGATTCTAAAGGTCAGATGCGAAAATGAAAAAATGTTTATATGATATATGACCTTTCACTGGTGGGGAGAGCGTGTACAGGTGTTCAAAAATGAAAAACAGTCACATATAAATACTCGAGCGCATCAGATATTTATAGTGTATGCGCCCCACGTGTTGTCGTATCCACTCATAATCTGACAATTATATAGAGGAATTACCTAATCTGACGGTTGGACTTTTTTGCTAACTGAATGTAATAACTAAAATATAAAATATAGAGGGTGGGTCAGTTTTTTGTACCTAGCAGGACAACAGTTCGAAGAATTCAAAATTTTGAGATGGACGGCTCATGTAGACATACAGGGTGGACCAATAGAGTGGCAAAGTGAGATAACGGCTTTGCTGTTTGAGATAGCAAAACAACAATTCTTGAGATGGTAGTCTCATGACTCGTCTCATGAACAGTACATTTTTGAAATATTTTGCGTTATATAGGGTTACTCAAAAATGCGTGTTGTCTGGCGTTGGCCTCTTTGCTGTTTGGGTCTCATTTAATGTTCAATTGAGATTTCTCAAAACTTATATTCTTATGGTGAAAGGATAACATTTATTCCGCTTACTTGAAAAGTTCAGGATAGAATTGCTTGAATATATTCATAAAGAACATGATTTGATTCAATTTAATTTGAATGCATTTATAGATATTGTCAAGTGTTTTAATCCATAAACATAGCTTCTTCTAAATGTATAATGTTCTTCAATTGTTTTGTAAGATCTTATGTAAGCAAATTGTTATATTTATATTTTATATTCTAATTTTTATATATTTATATCTAACTTGTTTTTTTATCGCTTGGATCGCACGAAAGGGAATCCCTATAATGTTCAAAGAACATCGTGCGTTCCTAGGGAGGATAGGGATAGGAGGGATAGGAGGATTTATTAGGATTCCTATTTTGAATTCAATAAAGTCTATTTTATTACTTTATACGCACAAATTGAAAATTTTAAAGACTGAGAAAAACGAAATACCTATTATACGCATATACAGATATTCGAATTGAACATTTCGAATTTCTAGACGCATTTCGATCCAAGACCAAAACTATCAAGACCCAGACCGAGACTGAGCCAGTCTCGTATTAATCTTGAAACAACAGACCGATGCCAAGACCAAGACTACATTTATTTTCCGAGACCAAGACCAAGAATGATCAGTCTTGATCTTGGTCTTGGTTTCGCGAAGCCCTATGGGGCATAAAAAATGAGGTACTTTAGTACAAAATCTAGTTATTTTATCACAAAGGGTTTCGAAAATATTTACAAAAAAACATCATCTCGAGCCCTCCTTCAGATGGCTATAACTCTCCCAGAGGCCAACTTCTTTTACTATTTTTGTTCCTAGAATCTGTGATTGAAATCTTTCTATATAATTTCGGGACACCCTGAATATCAAAACTGTCTGAACTGACCTGGAATGAATCATACCGACCTGTGGATATCTCCAGAGACAGGTCCAAGCCAATAAAATCCTGCGGCAATTGTATTGTACTCCACTTGTTTCCAGTCACAAGGAGGGTAATCCGAATGATATTTTCTATCACACGTGGAGTCTAGCATATAGTCGCTTCTCATCAGTTCCAACTCTATAGGCTGTTGAAAAATTAAAATATTTGAGAAATGATAAGTGCTTTCTCACACGGCAAAAATACTATGTGGTACAACTTTTTTTTATCTTTTGGGGCGCACCGGAAGGGAATCCCTATAATGTTTGGTAAACATCGTGCGTACCTAGGGAGGATAGAAAGAGTAGGTAGGTATTGGAATTTTTTTTGAATTTTTGGAGGTTATAAGTTCTTGGGAATATTTCCTTTGGCAAATAATTCTAAAGCTTTACCGTTCTATAAACAAACAGTTGACAAAGAGTTGTTCGACAAATCTCAAAGTTGTCGAGTTCGTCTGACTGATATCGCTAGTGATGGGATCATAGCAGATATTTCGGAAGAACATTTCCCGTAGGAGTATCTATGGAAAAGTGAAAAAAAAAAAATGTTCTATCCGTCATTTGGTTGCCCCCTTACGAGCAACCCTCAGAAGTCTTCGACAGACTTGTGCGAGCAAGGAATGACGGGGGCCTTACCTTTTAACGTGTGATCCCAAACACTTTCTTGGGCCATCAGAAAAATTTCTGCAGTCGATGGGAATCGAACCCACGACCGGCAAGCGAATACGGATTAGAATATTGACACTCTGTCCGCACGGCTAGCTGGCCCCTTCAAAGGTCACCGACATTCCACCCACCAGGCGAATGGCTCTTCTCTGCTTGGAGTCTAAGAGTATCAGCTTATGTTCCGGTTTTGAACCTCATATGTAGAAACAGAATTCTTGCATTGTAGATCAAGCTGTTGAGGTGTAACTTCACATTTTTGCACGAAATAAAAATCCCAGTTTTTGTGAAGCAGCTTTCGCGATGGATGAAAGAGTATTGCTGAAGGAAATACCGAGTATAGATATAGTGGGCTATGCGGGAATGGTGGTACCAGACATTGAGATGTCAGGCATACTGAGTTCCACCTTTCTAGAGAAAATACAGGCTTGAGCTTTGGTGGCACTGAATTCAACTATAGGTTGTTGATTTCCCAGGCTTGTGCGAGATGGTAAATAATACTTGCAAGAAGATTTTTGCCGTCCTAATGGTAGGCTGTTTGTTTCAAGGCAACAGCTCTAGATCAGTTCTTGTTAAACTAGCGTTTCGAAGATGATGATCATTTCGAAGACAGAGGTATGTGTATGTTTCCAATCCAAGCGTGATGATCTCGGATATTTCCGTAGCCCACTGTGAAGAATCTTCAGAAACAAAACATATTCTGTGCCAACAAAACATGCGGAGACCGTCCCAGTCTCCTGAATCATAATGCCATACAAAATATGTTCGCAGAATGGTTATTGACATCTGGGATTCAGGTGGGTTCCTTAATATAAGCTGCTCTAAGCCATGCGTGATGACGAAAGGTTGGGCTTGTCATCCAGTTTCATTCGTTTTGTTGGAGTGCATTAGCCAAGCAGTGGTGTTTGCATTGAAATCGCCCATGATGATGATTTTTGCTGCTGGATGGTTCGGTTGAATTATGTCAAGCTTCAGAGACAATAACTCGAAGAGCTCTCCATAGGATGGATCATTTGGTGAGAAGTAGAGATAACAGAGGAATTTGGTTTGTTTCTAGCTATCGAGTTCAAACCACATAACATCAAACTCATTTGGTTCCAAAGTGAATAGAACCTGAAAAGTGCGGAGCTTGTACACAGGAGAGAGCATATAGGTCTTGTTGGTGGGTGAATTGATCTATGTCTTAGTCAGAGTCATTATGTCTGGCTTTTCAGTTTGAAGGTGTTGATGGACTCGGCGATGTTTCTGCAAAGACCTTGGATATGTTACATAGGTCTATCTTCATAGAGGTATCTTACTTCCAGATAATTTTACTTGAGGAGAACGCATCCTCGCTTTTTCTGTATTGAGGAGAAATGTCAGTGTGGAAGAAAAAGGAAATTGGAATGACCTAGGTTGGCTGGAATCATCAAACAGCTATTGAAACATGGGAATAATCAATATCATAGCACCTACAGGGTCGCTGTGTCGATGTGGTGGTATTGTACCGGGCGATGGTAATCATCTTCCACGGTGTTCTTTTAGTCGCCTTCTACGATAAGCAGCACCTCTACTGTGGGGTTATTCTAGTCCGACCACCGCACTAACAATATACCTGTAATACCTAATGGAATCAAGTGAATATCTCGGTAACCAGGATGATTTCAAATCATGACGGATTCGAAAATGTTATATACGAATATATTGTCATATCTTTCCCTGAAATTCTTTTCAACTTATTCATTATTTCAAATGGCACACTACATATTTTCTTAAAATGTGGAAGAGAATCTTTCAGCAAATTCCATTTATTATCATTATGTTCAACAAAGATATCTGAAAAAATCGACGAAGTATTGAGGGACGATGGCACAGCGATGAAATTTTGTGTTTATTGTCTTATAAGAGTCCGATATGGATGGTGGAGTTAATTGACAAAATTGGCGGTACTGGTCGCAAACTAATCCTCACAAGGTATACAAGAGACACATACACCGGAAACATAAGTTTGGGCTTGTATTCACTCCAACAGGATTGAATAACTTTTTTCAGAAGACACTTGGGCTGCAAACAGGTACTTGAATCACAAGTGATTCTGTCGCTAGAGGAAATTGTATAAATAAATAAGTATTTTTTGCAACTTCCGTCATGCATGTCTCTATTTTGCAAAATCCTAGTGTGAACGCCAAATTACCTACTATGGATTAGTTATACAAATGGAGTGGGTATATTTCTAATGGCATGCAGTATTAAATTTTTACAGAGTATTCCCGAAATTTTCCAACCTTGTTCAGAAGACGGACGCATGCCAATTTGCTACTTAAACTCCAATTCTTCACATCGGCATGCAATTTGATTTTCTTCAGTTTTTGGTAACCCTTTTGAGCCCTTTCGGCCACTGCGGTTTGCATGCCACTAATTATTAGCGCTTCAGTTTGTTTGACCCCCCTCCCGTATCTTACAATGGCAGGTAGTATAATATCTCGGATGAATATGGAAATTCTCCACAAAATGAAAAGCGCTTTTCCTCATGAAGGCCTGAAGGGCACTCATGCGGCGGCCAGGAACCCGCCTATTGCTCATATTTTGAGATTAATTATAAAGCTTAAAAAGGCATGCAGTAAAATAGTCTTAGAGCCAGCGATCGGCAGATTTACGGTATGTTAGTAAACTCCATATTGATGCTACGTAGACTGTCACCTGCCGTAGAGGTGAAATGGGAATTAACTATCTCTGTCGACGGTTCTTTTGGGTGTGAACAGAGGTCATAAAACGCCAAAAAAATTTTTAAAAACATGATCGCAGCATGTCTGTCCTTTCAGTATCCCAAAGTACATATTTTTTTTATTAAAAAATCCAATGGCAGACACTTGTTCCGGTTCCAAATATATTTTCTAGAATTTCGAACCTTCGAAATTTTTATAAAAATGTGGGTTATTCCAGCAAAGCTGCAATTTATGTATAATATTCATATTATTATTATACACATTCATTTGTAGAAGCAGACACATAGGTCGGTTCCAGCTTGCGGGTAAACGATATTGTTTTCTTTGTCCTATTAATGTAGGTGTGCAATATATTGAGACTCGCTGAGTCTATCTCGCAGAGAACTAGCATTCAGCATGCTCTCCTGTAAGGATGATTGTTTATTGAACAATCTTTGAATGAAACAGATATTCTTCTTACCGATTGAATAGGAATTTTATATGACCTTAACAGTGCGAATGTTTTGATACCGCCTTTGATGTCCGACGGCTGGAAATTCGTTACCTTGAATAGCACCACCGTATATACGGAGAAAAATGTATATATCGTTGATTTCATATATCACCCATATTCCTACACTGACTATAGATATATGCTTGGACTATTTAGAAATGGTGAGAGTATTTCTGTGTCATATTCGAAATGAGAGAAATACTCATGTGTAGACCAATTCGGTCACACGCAGACCAGAATCTAATCAAGTTCAATAATGAAACTGTAAAAATCAGAAAATTTCTGATAATTATTCATAATTGAATTTTTATAACAATTTCAAAGTTTCGAAATTCAATATAAAGCATACTTAGAACCGGAATAAGTGTCTGCCAATGAACTGACTAATAAAAAAAAATGGGTACTTTAGGATATTAAAAGGGCAGACATGCTGCAATCACGTTTCTGAAGTAATTTTTAACGTTTCTCGGCTTCTGTGTAGCCCAAAGGGACTCTCGACGAGGATACTGAATCCTCATTCCAGGTGAAATAGTATACCTAGCATCAATATGGAGTTTGCTAACATACCGTTAGTTGGCCGATAGCTGGTTCTCAGTCTATTAAACGGGAGAACGTCACCTGTCTCCTGGTCTATAAAAAAGTCGGAGTCTCGAATCATTACTCACCGTTCGGCGTATGTCACAAAAAGTTACTGTAAATTGAAGAAGTTTGGGCGGACGGCATTGCCGAACCTGTAGGGTAGATACGATACGGTTAATTCAACAAAAACACGTTGTGGAATCCCGGTCTACATGGAAAACTTTGAAATTATGAAAACAGCTAGTTGTTTCGCACATAGCACTGTATTTTTTTTAAGCTAATCATAGGTATACTTCATTTTGAAATCCAGCGGGTTATATCTATAGATAGGAACCTATCAAAAAATTACTCCAATGTTTCTTGGACTCACCTGGGCTCTTCCTTCTTTCTCGATCGTCTCATAAATTCTAAACAGATTCGCTGTAAAATCATCCACCTTTATCGTATCTTTGAGGCACTCCCTCAAAAACGCCCCATCGTGAGCCACCTTGTGGATCAGCTCCAGAAAAACGGTCTGGATGTCAACCGCTTTTTGGAACTGTTCTCTCGGAAAGGTCGTTGGGAACAAAGTGAAAGGAGCAAAATTGATCGTATCCTCGCTGAAGTTCGATCTACTTCTCATGCAAGCACCATGCATGATGGCCCAATCTTTCGCATTCCTCACTAACTCCCTCAACTTGTTCTCTTGGAG